CTGGCCCCCCACCACCTATGGTCACATGCCCTTGTGTGCATTCTCTCTCTCAAATAAATAAATAAAATTTTTAAAAAATTTAAAAAATGGCTTTCAGGTTTATAAATTATCTCAATTTAAAAAAAATTTTTAAATTAGTTTTTAAAGATTTTATTTATTTATTTGACAGAGAGAGAGAGGGCACAAGTAGGCAAACTGGCAGCCAGAGGGAGAGGGAGAAGCAGGCTCTCCGCTGAGCAGGGAGCCTCACACGGGCTCAATCCCAAGATTGGGATCATGACCTGAGCCGAAGGCAGACACTTAACTGACTGAGCCACCCAGGCGCCCCCTCATTTTTTTTTTTTTTTAATTGCAGGCTTATAGGAATTGTGAGACATTTGTGAAGTCTGAATAATCTGAGCAAGAACTGTTCACTGTATTAATCACATTGAGCTCCATTTTTTAAAGTTTATTTATTTATTTATAGTAATCTCTGCACCCAAGGTGGGGCTCAAATTCGCAACCCTGACGTCAAGAGTTGCATGCTCTACCAACTGAGCCAGCCAGGTGCCCCTGAGCTCCATTTTTTAATACAGGCCAATACTTATTAGCTCTGTCTCTTTCTAAGAGGACACAACTCAATAGAACACTGAATCTAAATTAACTAGATACCATTACACACTGTATTTAATTTAAAAAAATAACCAATTGGTTTTTAAAAGTTTTATAACTTTTCTTAGCCATTTACTATAATATCTGCATGACTTAAATGCTTTTAACAATTAGGTGTCCATGATTAATCTCTTTAATGTGACAACCAGATAATGGAGCAATATAAGCTTTTGAAATAGGCTCCATTTCCACCAGTTGCAAGCACAAAGTAGGAAAGTTTCAGTATCTGCTTATTTTATGTACACTTTACCTTATTTCAAAAAAGATTTGAGAGACACAGACCATGTGTTCAGAAAATATATTGTTCAGAAAATATATTCTTCAATAAAATACAGAACATTAGCACACTATTTTAACCAAAATATTGTTGCCAGTGTTCTTTAGCTTTCCTTGTCAAAATGTTAACAAGTTTGCAATTTCACTAAATAACAGTGGGGGGGTGGGGGGGGTGGGGAGGGAGCACAAACTGTAGTTCTATGCCTAAAATAACTCATTAAACTGGGAAGTATCTTTATTTCAGTAAGAAAGTAATGAGATCAAACACATAAGTAATTTTGAAGGTGGGACCAGAAGAAAGGAACTTATCCAAAAAAAAGGGTTAAGATTTAATTTATACATAAATTAAGCTGCTGACTATTTGCTCTATGTTGAATTACCCATTTCGGAAAGGTATTCACAAGATTCCTTTAACTAGCTGTTCATTATAATCTGTTATAAACTAATTGCATTTTCTTCATTCTATTTTCAGGATCCTGTTACTATCAGTCACAAAGGTAACTATATGGGGCATTAGAAAATAAATACAAAGCCTCTCTATAGTATTTTAACTAAGCTAAGTGTTTGCACTATTCTCAAACACAAAGTATTTAAAGAAAACTCTAAACATAAAATAAATAACTTAAAACAACTGTGGAGTTGTCTCAAGTCTAACAGCACAGGTTACTTGGAATATTAGGCTACATCACTAGTGTTCATTCTAATTAAAGAAGTATGACTTTAGGGCGCCTGGGTGGCTCAGTCGTTAAGCGTCTGCCTTCGGCTCAGGTCATGATCCCAGGGTCCTGGGATGGAGCCCCACATCGGGCTCCCTGCTCCGTGGGAAGCCTGCTTCTCCCTCTCCCACTCCCCCTGCTTGTGTTCCTGCTCTCGCTCTCTCTCTCTCTGTCAAATAAATAAAATCTTAAAAAAAAAAAAAAAGAACTATGACTTTACCATTATGTATATATAATTGAGGGAAGGGGAATATCATAGTCCTATGTTGAAAGAAGTCAAATTCTTCCAAATTGAGCTGTACATTTAATAATTCCAATTTAAGAACAAGATTTAAAAATTGCAGTTATAAAACCAGATTACTTAAGAGTCTTGGAAAAAATGTTAAAATACACCTTTAAGTAAAAATGTGTAAAAGCCAATAAAGTTTGGAAAAGAATGAGGGGTTTGCCTCACCAGTAATAAGGTAGTAAAACTTCATTAATTAAAACAGTGGATACTAGTACAAGAATAGATCAATGAAACAGCACTGGGAGCCTTGAGACATATGCAAGTATACAGACGAATTTAGTCTATAATAAAAACAGTATTTCAAGACCGTGGAACAATAAAATAGTAATTCACTAAGTGATTTTGGGACAAGTGGCTAAATATTTAGGTGAACCTAAAATTAAGGCTCTGGCTCTCATCATATAATGAAGTAAAACGAGTATATTACAGGATAAAATGTAAAACAAAACAAAAACAAGAAACAACCAACGAAGGGGCGCCTGGGTGGCTTAGTCGTTAAGCATCTGCCTTCAGCTCAGGTCACGATCCCAAGGTCCTGGGATCAAGCCCCACATCAGGCTCCCTGGAGGCCTGCTTCTCCCTCTCCCACTCCCCCTGCTTGTGTTCCCCCTCTCGCTGTGTCCCTCCGTCAAATAAATAAACAAAACCTTAAAAAAAAAAAAAAATGAAGAAAATTCAAATTACTAAAGAAAACCAGACATTAACTATATAATAATTGGAGGACTAGATATAAAATTACACAAGTCAAAAACATTAAAAAAAAAAAAAGCCCTGAGAACCCAAAACACAGGCACACATAATTTTCTCCATGTTAAATATATGAACACAGTTGAAAGACAAAAAAAAAAAGCTAGGGAAAAAACTTCAACTTATCACAGAAGAACAATCTTCATATAAAGATTAACAGAGCAATGGATTGCAGGACAAAGTATTATGAGTATGTAATTTACAACTAGATGTAACTAGCGTATCAATATATGAAAAATGTTCAATGGAACCAGTAATTAAAGGAATGAAAATAAAACAGTGAAGAGCCTGATACTTGGGAAATGGGCACCATTATACATTTTTACCAGGACTATGAATAGATACAACTTTCTATAGGGCAATATGTATCAAAGTTTAAAATGTGCAGACTTCTGGCCCAATAATTCCTCTTTCAGGAATGTAAACTAAGGAAATCCTCTCTCAAAAATATACACATATGAATTCACCAGTGTTTGTTATCTTGATGAACTGACAACCTAAATGCCAATTAATAACAACAAATACATACTAGTACCTCATAAACAAAAATGCTATGCATCTATTTAAAATGATATAGAGATCATACATTTACTGACATGGAAAAAAATGGTCATGACACTACATGTAAACTCCATGTGAGCAGGCTGGGCAAACCCTGGATGTCCTGTTCTTCAACCTTATTTCCAGCACCTAGAATAGTGCCTTGTACAAAAGAGCTTCCCAGAAAGCATTTACTAAATAGATTAATTTTAAAAGCAAGCTACAGAACAATAATCATAATGTTGACCCCCCCCTCCCTTCTATCTCCTCTCTCTACACACACACACACACACACGCCCACACACACACACACAAACACACACACAAAGACAGTCACAAAAGGTTAGGGAGTTTTGGTTCGTGTGTTTAACTTTCTTCTTTATTCCACTCTGTACTGTCTAAATTCCTTACATAGTAAACATTTTTTATGATTGGAAAAAAGGAACAAAATTGATTTTTAAGAACTCATATATTAAAAATGAACGCCAGAAAGTGTTCAGTGACGACAGTTCACAAACTACAAAAACTAAGATCAGCAATATCCAAGTGGCATTTTCTTTCATCTCCAAAGAAATACTGGTAGGTCTTCTACAATGTAGCATCTTTCTCCAGTACCAGGAAATGCCACCCTATACTAATAAAATGCAGAACTTCCAAAAGAAAAAGCACATTTTTTTCTGTAGTAAAAGGGGGGAGGGGAGCAACAAATTTCTTAAAAGTCCTCCCATCTCCTCTATTAACACATGCCCTCTTCTAGTTGGTGATAAAGATTACTATGTATAGTCATTTTTTTTTTTTTCAGGCTAAAATGCCAGTGAATCCATCAGAAATGTGCTCTATGCAATTCTTTCATTTCTTTGGAAAAACAGATTTTATTTTAAAGACATTTAAAAAATTGAAATATCAAAACTAGCCACATACCCTGTCATTATTCATCCCACCACCCTGTTTTATATTACTCACAGACTTTATCACTACCTGAAATAACCTTATTCGAATTTTTATTATCTGTCTCTCCCTTCTAGAATGTAAGCTCTATGAAGACAGGAATTCTGTCCTTCTCACCACTGTGTCCCCAGTGAATGGCATCTAGTAGGCCTCAAGGAGTATTTGTTGAATAATGAAAAAGGGGTGTGTGTGTGGGGGGAGGGACAAATCTAAGGAAGACTATAAATAAGGAACTGGAAAAAAAGAAAAAAACCACAATGAAATGTACAAGCTGACATGACTCAAGGCTATAACGTCAGCCCGGAGGTTTGGTGGACATTTTTCAAGGTGGACAGGTGCTTCACACCTATCTAAAAGCATAGAGCTCTTCCAGGAAGAAGAAAATCCACAGGGAGGTCCCCGGGTAGCTGTGTGCAGCTCCCAGAAGACTGGGAACGATCATCATCATAATAGAAATGTCGTCCAGATCGAGAAAACAACAGCAACAACATACTATACATCTTGGCCCAGATGAAAAATCAAACGAATTCTCGACACAATGAAACCAAGCAAGCAACCTTCCGCCCGACACGTAGAAAGAGCAGTCTCCTTTCCCCTGGCCGTGCAGTCGCCAGCAGCCCAGCAAAATCCCTCACTCATCACTTCCCCCCCTCAAGGACCCCCGCCCCAGCTGGTCCAAGGGGAAAGGGAATGGGGGGCGGGGAACAGTATGAGAATCAGCTTTCTCCACCCCCACCCGAGCCCAATCCTCTCCAAAGCGCAATGCCTCCCACCCACCCACCCCGAGGCCCTGACCCCCGCGCCAACGGCTCCTCCAGCAGCCCCTCACTCACGTGTAGATGATGGCCATGAAATGCATCAGCCACAGCACCAAGAAGAGGACGAACCCGAAGACGGCCATTCCCTCCAAGGCCAGGTCCAGGAGCGCCATCCCCCGGCCTGGCCTGGCCCGCTCCGGCCGCCGCCGCGGACCGCGCTCCCGCAGGAGGACAGGGTGGGCGCCCGGCGCGGGGGCGCAGTAGGGGAGAGGAAGGTGGGGAGAGGAAGGGGCGGAGGGGGTTGGGGACGGAAGGGGCGGGCAGGGCCTGCGCGCCCCGCCCGCGCGCACTCGTTCGCGCTCTGTCCTAGGCGCGCTCGCTGCTGCGGGCGCTGCGGTGGCCGGGCTCCGTGGTCAGAGCGACCGTGGCCCGCGCTCAGGCTCGCCTCTCCACACCCTCGCGGTCGCCGGCCGGACCCTGCGCGCCTGCGCCCCCGATGCCAACGCCCCGCCGCCTCGCCGCCCGGCCCCGGGCCGCACAACTCCGCACCCTGCTCCGCCGCCGCAGCTCCGCGCACTAATCAAAACCGGCGGCCAGCGCTCCGACTCTCCGGCGCGCCCCGCCCCCGCCCTTCGGAACGGCGGCGCCCGTCCCTCTAAGGGGTGGTGCGCGCCGCTGCTCCCCGCCCACCCTGCCGCCCTCGCGCCCGCTGCGTCACCGTCACCGTCGGGAGCGCGCCCCTGGGAGGCTTCTGCTGGACGCGAGCCCGCCTTCCCCGCGGGGTCCTGTCTCCCGCCGCGCCTAACCCTCGGCGTTGGGCGGCGGCGCCCGGGGCGGCCAGGAGTGCCGCCCTGGGCCGGCCTCCCTCGGCGGTGGCGGCACGTGACCCTGTGTCCGGCTCGAAGGCTGCTTGCCCTCTGCCGGGCTCCAGTGTTTCCGGGCGCCCCAGAGAAACACACGGAGTTGCAGGCGGCCGCCCGAGTTGTCTCGAAATCTAGCTTCCAAAGCTGCGTCTGCAGCTTCTCCGCCCGGTCTTGCTCAGAGAGGCTTAGGCCCTCCTCCAGGCCACGTTCCTGGGCGCTTGGCTGTCCCATTGCCTTCCTCCCTCACTGCTTTTAATGCTGTGTTGTCTTGGATCACAGCCGACCCGAGAGCAAAATAATCTTATTCCTCACAGATCTGTAAGCACCATAGAGACAGCGTGTAATGTAAAAGAAATTCTCAAACTCGGAATGTAAGGAATCAGTATCAAAGTCCCCTAAGACTACTGTCCAATACGGTAGCCATACGGGGCTATTGAGCGCTTAAAATGTGGCTGGTAGGAATTGAGGCGTCCTGTGCGTCTAAACCATACACCGGATGTCAAAGACCACCTCCTTAATACATTTTACATTGATTACATGTCGAAGCAATATTTTTGATATATTGGGTTAAATTAAAAATTACTAACTTCACTGTTTTTGTTGTTTTACTTTTTAAATGTGGCTAGCTACTAGAAAATTTTAAATTACACATGTGGATAGCACTGCTCTAAAATGTAAAGAAGTGGCACTTTGGACAATAGGTTAACTTAGACTTTATCTTAATTTTTTTTTTAAGATTTTATTTATTTATTTGACAGAGAGAGACACAGCCAGAGAGGGAACACAAGCAGGGGGAGTGGGAGAGGGAGAAGCAGGCTTCCCGCCGAGCAGGGAGCCCGATGCGGGGCTTGATGCGGGGCTCGATGCGGGGCTTGATGCGGGGCTCGATGCGGGGCTCGATGCGGGGCTCGATCCCAGGACTCTGGGATCGTGACCTGAGCCGAAGGCAGACGCTTAATGACTGAGCCACCCAGGCGCCCCAGGCTTTATCTTAATTTTAAATCAGTTCAGAGAGATGTTTTAATCTAGTACTAAATGTTTCTGTTTGTTTCTTTAGCCTAGATGAGTTTATATTGTTTCTTGATTGTTTTATGTTTAGACAATGTTTATTATTTCAAGTGATTTCCTTTTAAATAATCCATGACCTCCCTTGAGAGATTTCAGAATTGAATTCAATTTTGAAAAGAAGTTGGTTATTTTATCGTTGCTATTTATTATGTTTGATATTGATTAAATGAACTACCTTAATCTACAGTTAAATGGTAAACTATAATCAGAGAACCAATTCTGCATTCACTATACTCTGTTTTACTGGGGTAAAGTTCTCTGTACTGAGAACCAATTCTGCATTCACTATACTCTGTTTTACTGGGGTAAAATCAGTAAGAAAGAACAATGTTTACAAATGAAACTTCCATTGTTCAGTTACTGATTAATGAATTAAAGTTATAGCGGGATAGAATACTACCAGCAAAATAACTATAAATGGAAATTTTAAAAACATCACCATTGTAGTTCATTAATTCTAGGATTCATTTTAAAAAGAAAAAGATTTTTTAATTTATTTATTTGAGAGAGAGTGAGAGTGGTGGGAGGGACAGAGGGGGAGAGAGAGAATCTCAAGCAGACTCCGTGATAAGTGCAGAGTCCTACCCCCTACTTGGGGCCTTGATCTCACAACTCTAAAATCATGACCTGAGCCAAAACCAAGAATCTAATGCTTAACCCACTGAGCCACCCAGGTACCCCCAGGACTCACTTTAAAAAACTCTTTAACATTGGGCACCTGAGTGGCTCAGTGGGTTAAGTCCCACTCGGGTTTCAGCTCAGATCATGATCTCAGGTTGTGAGATTGAGCCCCGCCTCCTTAAGATTCTCTCTCCCTCTGCCCCTCCCCCTCTTTAAAAAAACAACACTTTAACACATTTTAACATTTCTTTTTTTTTTTTTTTAGATTTTTTTTTTTTTAAGATTTTATTTATTTATTTGAGACAGAGAGAATGAGAGACAGAGAGCATGAGAGGGAGGAGGGTCAGAGGGAGAAGCAGGCTCCCCGCCGAGCAGGGAGCCCGATGCGGGACTCGATCCCAGGACTCGAGGATCATGACCTGAGCCGAAGGCAGTCGCTTAACCAACTGAGCCACTCAGGCGCCCCCATTTTAACATTTCTGAAATGTAAATGTATCTCACAGTAACATCTTAACACTAACTGGTAGATGATTTTTTCTTGATCATATGTAAGTAACAGTGCATCTTACAATGAATGCCCTCTTATATTCAATGAACTATATCAGTTGGTCAATTAAAGCATTTTGTTATATTCTGCTTTTCTCCAAAATGTTTTTTTGGAACCTTACAACAAAAGATTTTATATAGTATGAACAATAACATGGAAAATGAGGCCAAGAAAAGTGAAAGAAGCACATATTCTTAAGAACAGAATTGGTATAATTGAGTATAATCAGTAAAGATCAGCTATGTTGTACATAGGCCTAGTTAAACTTGGTCTTGTCCAAACCATTCTATAGTATCTATAGAATATTAGGATTACATATTCTAAAATGAATATGCATGAATATGTAATCCTAACATTAGAATATATAATCCTAACATTCTATAGATACTGTAAAAGTGTATATTTCTTCCACGTAGCACAGGAACATAGGAATCTAGCAAAGACCCTGTCCACTGATCTTACTTTTTGGCAGTTAGCTTTTTTTTTTTGGTTGTCTAAGGGGCCCTCCTCTCTTTCAGAAAACCAGTTTTCACCAAGGTCAGGGCTTCAGATGCTTTCCAGGGACAATCCAGTAGCATTAGTGTATATTAGAATTCATACTGTTTGAGGAGCAATATTTTCAGAGACAAACAAAATCCAAATTTGACTGTCATTTAATGGCCCTAGATATTTTAGTTTATAAAACCTTAACAAGAAAAGAATTCAAAATATCTGGTTCAAACCAAGTAGTTAGAACACATTTTTGGCTTGAACCAAACCCAAACCAAAATATTTAGCTGACTCAAAACTGAAACTGAAATGAAATTGTATTGGTTCTAGCCCAATGTCCCAGAAAAGATAGGGCAGAAGGCTGGGAGAACACAGGTACATAAGTTACTCCAGAGAAACAAAACAATTTATCTTTGGCATGTTGATACTCTTAGTTACATTATGCCCCAACTGCCTGTATTTAAAAGTTAGTGTTACATTTTTTAAAGTTACATTTTCAACAATCAGGATTCCTGATTTGGGTTGTGTCTAAGAAAAACATCATCTTTGGTAAGATTCTAGGTAAGTTTAAAATGTGGCACTGAAAGGCTATGCAGAGAAAAAAAGACAAATTACGCCAGATGATTATAAATATTTGTCTTTGAAAAATGAAATGTGTTGGGCGGGGCGCCTGGGTGGCTCAGTTGGTTAAGCGACTGCCTTCGGCTCAGGTCATGATTCCGGAGTCCCAGGATCGAGTCCCTCATCGGGCTCCCTGCTCAGCAGGGAGTCTGCTTCTCCCTCTGACCCTCCCCCCTCTCATGCTCTCTCTCTCTCTCATTCTCTCTCTCAAATAAACAAAATATTAAAAAAAAAAAAAAGAAACTTATTAAAAAAAAAAAAAGAAAGAAATGTGTTGGGCGCCTGGGTGGCTCAGATGGTTAAGCGTCTGCCTTTGGCTCAGGTCATGATCCCAGGGTCCTGGGATTGAGTCCCACATCGGGTTCCCTGCTCCTTGGGAGCCTGCTTCTCCCTCTGCCTCTCTCTCTGTCTCTCATGAATAAATAAATAAAATCTTTAAAAAAAAAAGAAAAAGAAAAATGAAATGTGTTAATATTTTTTACCTGCCTTTTTATGTTGTTGATTTCCTATAATGGGCATTATTGTTTTTATGGTGAAAAATTGCCATTTTTCTATGTTGCAAAGGAGTTAATAAAAACCAAGTAGAAATTTTTCATAACTTTTCTTCAAATTATGAGTGGTACAGTCACTTTGGAAGATAGTTTGGCAGTTACTTACAAAACTAAACATACTCTTACCATACGATCCAGCAATCACATCCTTGGTATTTACCCAAATGAGTTGAAAACATGTCCACACAAAAACCTGCATACAGATGTTTATAAGAGCTTAAATCATAATTGACAAAACGTGGAAGCAACCATGTCCTTCAGTAGATGAACGGATAAATAAACTGTGGTATGCCCAAACAATGGAATATTATTCAGCAACAAGAAGAAATGAGCTATCAAGCCATGAAAGACTTGGAGGAAGCTTGAATGTATATGACTAAGTGAAAGACTCTTTCCCACTATATGACATTCTGGGAAAGGCAAAACTATGGAGACAGTAAAAAGATCAGTGGTTGTCCAGGGAGGAGGCAAGGGATGAATAGGCAGATCACAGAGGATTTTTAGAGCAGTGAAACTATCCTGTACAATACTATAATGGTGGATACACGTATTATACATTTGTCAAAACCCATAGAATTTACAACACCAAGAGTGAATTCTAATATAAACTGTGGACTTTGGGTGATAACAATGTGTCAGTGGAGGTTCATCAGCTATAACAAATGCACCATTCTGGTGGAGATGTTGATAGTGGGGGAGACTGTGCATGTGTTGGGGCAGAAATTATGGAGAACTGTCTGTAATTTCTGCTCAATTTTGTGGTAAGCCTAAAAATCCAGAAAATAAAGTCTATCTTTTAAAAATAAGTACTTCACTCAAAAATATATATATTGAAAATGTTGTCTGGATAAGTGAGATAAACTAGTTTGTCATCAGATACTAG